GTGTGTGTGGGTGGGTGGGTGGCTGTGGGTGTGGATGTGGATGTGTCCCTTGATTTGAATGTCTCACAGAGACGTCATGTAATGTGGTAGCTTTAAGAATTAAAAGGTTGGGGGGCAGCTAGGTGGTGCAGTGGATAGAGTACTGGCCATAGGGTCAGGAGGACCTGAGTTCAAATCTCGCCTCAGACACACTCACTAGCTATGTGACCCTGGGCAAGTCACTTAACTCCAATTGCCTCACAAAAAAAAAAAAATTAAAAGATTGGGAGAAATGCAGTTTGTTTCTTTGATTTCCTGCAATTTAAAAAGTGAAAGTTGAGAAATGCTTTGAGTCAGTTGAGAAAATGATTTAATTTGTAGTCTCTGCCAAGACAGCAAATAAGATGTGTGTTTTATTTATGAAACATGAGGATCTGTAAAGAATATGTGAGGAAGAGATCATAGCAAAGTTCCCCACTCATCTCACGAGGAATAGATATTATTAACCGATGATGAGAGTTGAAGCTTTAAGTGGAGAGAAGCTCCACATTATCATGCTTAGTGAAGTCTGAAGTATTGGACTACATACATGCCATCCGAGGTTTACCACCACATTCTGTTGTTGCCCTATTTTTGCAGGCTTATTTCGTATTACTCACTCTACTCTATATTCCAATCAAAATCTTCTATAATAATTCCTGTGCTTTCTTCTCCCTTTTTTTTATGCTATTTTCTTATACTTTAAGAAGCACACACAAACACACAAACACACATCACACAAATACACCCTCTGGCTGTTGAACCACCACACAACTCTTAAAATCTAGCTGAAATGATTCCTTTCCCATGAGGCATTTCCTGATTGTTCCCATCTCTCATACCTCATGTAATATTTTATTGGAACCTCTTAAGCAAACAAGTGCAGTTATTTATGTACGTGGCAAATCTTCTGAACCAATATCTTACTTAATTTTTGTATACCACCACATCTCCCACTTTTAGCCCTCAGCTTTGTACTCAGCACCAAGCAGGTACATATTAAATGTTGAAGAGAGATGAAATCACTTGTGCAATCGGCTAACAAATGAGAAATTAACTTCTTCAAAGTTTAATTCTTTTGATCAAATATGTCCAGAAATAAAGACACAGCACTGGTAGAGGGAGAAGGTAAAATTCTTCACTTCATTAATACTTCAGGCATCAAATTACTCTGATTCTTCTTCTTTTTCAAAAAATAAATATAACTAAGAATTCAGGATTTCAAATCTTCTGATGCTTATGTAAGTAAAGGAAAAGGTTTAGATCCCCAAATCTCTAAGCTCAATATGGATTCCAATGTGGTCGTCATTGACAGCAAGATTTCTTAAATGAAAACAAATGTGGCACTGAGAGAGATACAATAAAAAGTACCAGAAATCCCAAAGAGGGCCCTTACAGTATACTAAGTTTCTTAACAGGGCCGGTAGACTCAACTGAGAGGAGGTTTTGCTTGCACAGCTTCCTATGAAAAGCAAAGCCTATCTTTCTAGCAATCTCTCCTTACCCAAGGTTAGCAATTACAGGCTGTTTTTAAAAGTATAACCATCTTCCTCTGTATCACAAAGCATGATAAAGCTTACTAGTGCATTTGCACACATGTGCATGTGTAGTTTAATCATATTAATCATATTCAGGTAAAAGCTAATAATTTAAAAAACACAATAATAGTGAAGCTTCGAAAGTCAGCAGATTGTATAGAATCATGCTTTAATTGCTGGACATGCTCAAAGGCTCCCACTGGCAGCTGGGGCTCAGGCTGAAATGGCCTCTCTTTGCGGTTCTGCCCCAGCAGTCCCCTCATCCCCATGCATCTGTGACTTTATTCTTAGGTCTCCTCTGGCAGATGGGTAATGGCATTTCAGGGAGTAATTGGTAGATACCATGGTGCTTTTCCTCCTCATGAAAGGTCACTTACATTAAGGAGATGGTACTCTTGGGCCATCAAATTTTTCCTATCTCTTACAGGGAATTTTTTTTGGGGGGAGATGGTAAGGTTGTGCTTTATTTTTGTTATATAATGGAAAGAGCATTATGCAGGAAGTCAGAGAACCTGTGTTCTTAGACACTTGCAAGCTGTGGCCTTGTGCAAACACCTTAGCCTCTCTAAACCTCAGTTTATCTATCTCTGCAAAAATAGGTATCATAATATATTCACTACCTACCTCTCAACACTGTTGTGAACTAAGTTCTTTCTAAATATTCAATCCATATATATTATTAGTGTCCCCAGCTCAGAGAATTAATAGCCATGTTTCTTTCTCCGAAATATCTTAACCTCCCTAAGCCTCAGTTTCTCCACCTGCAAAATGAGGATCTAAATACTTGCATTACCTACCAGTATGCTTTATGTAAATTCTAGTTATTATACTATTAATCTTGATATCATTACCTTCAAGTGGTCTTTTTAGAAGTTTCAATGCACTTGAAACATCTGTAAAAATCAGTGTTGCTGTAGGTTTCAAAGCACCATCACATTGCTGAAAGATCCCTGGACCAGGGAGATGTAGGTTCAGACTATCTCTGTCACCACACCCAGTCTCTAACCTTGGACAGCTGCCTTCTTTCTAAGGGCTTCGGTTTTGCCATCTGCAAAATGTATGGTTTGGAACAGATTAAAGTCCCTCCTTATCCTAAAATTCTGACACTTGACTAGGAGTCCAGGGGCCTAGGTTTATGGTACAATTCTTCCACAAACTCTGTGACTTTGACAGGAAGTTATTTAAATTTCATGGGCCTCATTTTTTTTAACCCCTAAAAGACAAAGTTATCCTAAGGAATCTTGCAGTCTTCTTCCAGCTCTAAAAATCTAATCCCTGATCCTGCTATACTTTGTTAATTGTTTGTGAAAAGTCCTTTCCTGTGATTTGGATAATGAACTGAATTGAGTGTGAGATGACATGTCCCCTAACACTCTAGTTCCTGGGGCAGAAAGGCTCCTGTAAACCTTTAAAAAAAACCTTCCTGAGTAGTGGGGTCAGGGTAGGGGAGATTATTTTAGGCCAAAGGAATAGGCATCTGAATTTAGAGGACCTGTCCTGGAGGCATGGCTTAGCCAGTTACTAGCTGTGTGTCTCAGGGCAAAATATTATAAACATGCTAAACTTAGTTTCTCTTTCTCCAAAATGGTACTACTAATACTTTCATTATATATTCAACAATATTAATATTTCCATGATCCCTGTGTATGTCTCCCCCTTCAACACCCACCACCACAAAAACATTTAAAGGAGCAAAGAATCTTAGTTTGGAACAAAGATTAAACTCTGAGAACTAGTTCCTTAGGGAACTAGACAAGAATACTGGGCAAATTCTTACAGGGACTTCAGTATGAGGGAGAACTCAGTACCAAATAAGAGAATTTATAATAAACAATTACAAAAGTTAAGACTTTGAGGCCATTCTCTGCAGTTGTGATGAGGGAAAAGAGAGGGAGGGAAGGAGGAAAAGAGAGAGACTGGCACTGTGCAAAGCACCTTACAAATATTGCTTCATTTGAATCTTACAACAACCTTGTGAGGTAGGGGCTGTGATTTTTCCCATTTTAGAATTGAGGAAACTGAGGCAAACAGAGATCAAGTGACTTATTCAGGACCACCCAAGTGGTAAATGTCTGAGGCCAGATTTGAACTTAGGTCTTCTTGACTCCAGGTCCAGTGGTATCCACTGAGCCACATAGCTACCCCCAAACTGATTTAATAATAACAATAATGACAATAATAGCCACCATTTATATAGTGTTTACTATATGCCAGGCACTGTGCTTAAAAATTTATAATTATTATATCATTTGATACTCGCAACAACCCTGAGAGGTAGGTACTGTTAGTCTTCACATTTTACAGATGAGGAAACTGAGGCAAATAGTACTTAAATAATTTGCCCAGGGTCACACAACTAGTAAGTGTTTGAGGCTTGATTTGAACTCAGGTCTTCCTGATTCCAAGTCTAGTGTTTTGTCCATTGTGCCACTCAACTGCCCAAAATCTAATTTGTAAATAACTTCCACCTGTTTAGTCTTTACTGCCACTAGTAAAGTATGAGTGATATATTCAGAAAGGATTGTTTTTGGTGTTAGTATAGACTTAGTATGAAGAAGTTGGATAATTATGGGGCATAGTAGATAGAGTTCTGGGTCTAGAGTTAGAAGGACCTGAGTTCAAATCTGACCTCAGACACTTACTATTTGACCCTGGGCAAGTCACTGAACCCTGTTTGCCTCAGTTCCATCATCTGTAAAATGAGATGGAAAAGAAAATGGCAAACCCCTCCAATATCTTTACCAAGAAAACCCCAAATGGATTCACGAAGCTACATGAAGACATGACTAATCAACAAAACAGCAAATATGAAGAAGGGGAAAATGAGGGAAGGGTGCTAAAAGAGTCCCTCATCTGTGTTGACTTTCCCCCAGGCTCTCAGGTAGTAACAAAAAAAGGCAGAGCCAGAAGGAAACTTGAGTACTTCTAGAATGACTAGACAAATCATTAGTTTGCAGACCGGTGTATACATGACTGCAAAAGATGTGGATGTTAGATGCCACTTTCAGTGTGGTTCAATACTGGGATTGAAATTAGGAGACATGGTTTCTAGTTTTATGTTTACTCACATGCTAAACTGTGGAACCAATCAGTTCATTTTTATGGGCCTACATTTTCTCATCTGCAAAATGAGGCACTGAATGATCCCTTGTGTCATGTGGTTATAGGATTTAAAGCTGGGAAGCAACCTTAAATATCACTGAGTCCAAACAATTCATTTTACAAATGAGGAAACTGAAACCAACAATGATAAAATTATTTGCCCAAGGTAACATGCTAATAATGTCCTGATAGCTCAAAAATAATCAATGAATATATATATTTTACCTCTCTTTACACAAATTCAAATATGTCATGGCTCCAATTAAACACTTCGTAGAGAAAAGTCATTGAGATCTATGTTGCTTAAAACAAATATTAATAATTCATCTTTTTTTGTCTTAGGTATCCACTGAAGAAGGCTTGAGTCTAGCCCGAGAGTACACCTGTGCATTCTTTGAGACATCAGCAGCTCTGCGCTTCTATGTTGATGATGTTTTTTATGGTTTGGTGAGAGAAATCCGCAAGAAAGAATCCATGCCATCTCTGATGGGGAAAAAATTGAAAAGAAAAGACAGTCTTTGGAGGAAATTAAAGGGCTCCCTGAAGAAGAAGCGGGAAAATATGACATGACCCCTCAGCCTAAGATTGACTGACATCTTTCTCTCTCCAGAGCTGATCAGTCTGACAATTACAGATGTAGCAATTCATTATACAACCTCTGATTTTCCACATTTTTCCCCCTTCTTCTTCAACTCTGCCTATAGGTAAAAGCAAAATCTGTGTATCTGTGTTTCCCGAGGTGATTCTGTTTTGTCTTCAAGATTTGGATGGATTTTGTCAATCTACCAAATATGCTGTTTATTTTTTACAATATATCACTAAATAAAATTGACATTCCAATTGCCTCATTTCCCTTTAAAGAATCTGGCTTCATTTGGTATGCTGTCAAGTTATGGAGGAAATATTCAAAATCACAGCTGGAATGATAAAAGGCTCTAGGGATCTGCTGTTCCCTGATAAGAGCAGAATTGTTTGTACACTGAGAAGCTCAGTAAATAATAAAGAAGCCCAAGAAAGCATTGAGGACTGGAGTCTCTCACCCTATCTTTCCTGAAGTGTAACAATCACTGAGCTCCTTTCTGGAGTGCTCCCCAGATGAGCCTCAGGAATGCCTTGGGAAATTATTGAGAGTAATCACTAGTGGGGAATCAATGGAGAAAGTGGAATTAGCTCAGTCTTGCAGATCCCTACCTCCTCAGCAGACCAGTTTGGTGAGAAAGGGTTGTCTGTTTCTTGGGAAGACAAAGGCTTTTAATGGTGGGGGTTACACACTCTTACAGTGATAATGGATTCCTCCTGAAAGATTTTCTTATAGGATTAAACTATCTGAAATAAGGATGGATCTATGTGTAAATAGAATATATGGCCACTGGAGTTTAATTTATATATGACTCAATGGTCACTTAGCCCAAAGTACTTCCCTACAATTGCTTGAGCTTGTTCACTTTCAGATTTGCCACTTTGCCTAAAAGTTTAACATTTTAAAGATTCATATAAGTTAATTGTGAGCAGAGCTGGAACTAGAGTTCAATACCCTTTGTCTGAGGACACTGAAATGTAGAGGATTCTGGCAGTACTTGCAGGCCATCAGCAACATGAAGACAATTGAGTTTATTGTCCATTTAGCAAAAACAGTGACTGAACAACAACAAAATGTACTCCTGAGACTGTGACCCCATTTGGAATTTTCTTGGCAAAGATACTGGAGTGGTTTGCCATTTCCTTCTCTAGTTCATTTTACAGATGAGGAAACTGAGGCAAACAGGGTTAAGTGACTTCCCTACATCTCAGAGCTGGTAAGTGTCTGAGGCCAGATTTGAATGCGAGAAAATGAGTTTTCCTGACTCTGGGCATAGCATTATATGATCTATTAGGCCACCTAGCTACCCCTAGACTGTAAAGTGTTTTAAATATTAACAGAAAATTGTTCTTTATTCTAAATGAAATTGGCTAGCCATCCCCAATCATCTTGCCTTTTGTCTTTCTGCTGGACTCTGATAACTCTGGAGAAAAGAATGAGGTTGATCACTTTGCACACCTCTGCCTCACTTAAATCCCACTCACTCACATGTCAAAACATCACCCTCATGTCATTGGGCCTCTTTGAGAATGAAGAAAAAACAACATTCAGCAAAAGGAGTAGTTTAACTCAAGAGCTATCACATAGCACACTTCCAACCTTCATCTGGACCATCCCATAGCTCCCAAATGAATTTTCCACCCTCATCATGTTCCCCTCCCCAGAAGCAACTTCCTGGATGTGGTTTTCTAAAGCTTCTATATCCTCCCACATGGAGATGTGTCCTGAAGTCTTCCCTCTCCTTAACTGAATTTATCTTTAAAAGTTTTTTGAGTGTGCTCGATGTGCCCTCAGTGTAAAAATTGCTAGTTATGGTTGTGATTATAGCTTCTCTTTTAAAATTAAAATGACTCAGATTAAGAAGCATTATTCATATATATATATATATACACATATATTCATATCTCAATATGCATTAAGTTATTCCAATTACTTTCCTCTAAAACCCATGATTAGTTGTATTGAGTTTTTAGCATATAAGAGGAAGGGAAAAATAGTATTGGGAAATTTGTCACTTCATAAGAAGGGAAGTTAGAATGATATATTGGAGTAAGGGGCTTTGCAAAGGCAATGATGAGGAGGATATGTCCCAGACTCTTGGGGGAACATGGAAGAGAATGGATGTGAGAGAAAGGGGTACAAAGGGAGAGGGGAAAACAACAATGAAAAGTGTGCTTGCTTCCCCATTTCATTAGGAATGACAAAATGAGAAATCTTTTCAGAAGACATAAAGAACTCTGTTGGTCACTAGAAAGAGATACAAAAAATGCTAAAGACAAAATACTGGCCCCAGCAAAGCAAGAATAAAATAAAGATGACTGAAAAAAGTTCATGAAAATACAGAAATCAAATCAAATGAAAATGTTTATACACACATATGCATATATGTGTGTGTGTGTGTGTGTGTGTGTGTGTGTGTGTATATGTATATGCATGTAGTTGTTGTTTAACTTGCCCAAGGTCACTCAATGAGCTAGTGACAGGTCTCCCGGATTTCCTTTCCAATGTTTTACCCAGTAGGTTAAAATACCTCTTTGGGATATGTGACAAATATGAGATGACCAATAATTGGAGGGAGAAGATTTAAAAATAAACTCTCTCAATAAAACACTTATTTTATTTTGCAGAATGCCTAGTACACCTCCAAGATGGCAGGCATAAGTTACTCTGCTGACAGTCTGTGTTGCAATTTGGGCATCATCCAGCCTTCTCTAGAGGTGTAATTAAAGTCAGCTAATAAATAAAATGGAAAATATTGCTTCTCAAAAGGATCCATATTGTCTCTTTAAAATACATAATATATGAGGGTTGATTAACCCTGTTCCCAGGTTGGGATGACTGCAAGCCAAAAGCAAACCTGCCATAAGTCATTCTCTTCAAGGTAGACTATTAGACAAGGTGGGTAAAAACCTCAATTAGTTGGAGTTTGTCAAAGGCACGGTATTAAATTTATAGCTCATGAAAGGCCCTAAACTAATAACACTTAGTCTCTTTATTTATGTGCAGAAGAAATAGAAGCAGCAGAGATAACTTTTAAGTATAAACCTAGAGAGGTAGATCAATACATTTGGAATCAAAAGACTTGGGTTCAAGGCCTAGTTTTGTTCCTCATTATTTGCATTACATTAGCTGGCTCAATGACCCTTAGTAGTTTTATCTATATATTGAGTATAATACCCCATGTTCTTATTACCTGACACAATTGTTTTAAGTATCAAATGAGATAAAGTGTTATGTGATATATTGTTATTACCCAGGATCACTGAGTGAAGTAATGGACCATACAACTGGGATATTTGGGGGCTAAGCCAAGATGGCAGAATAGAGGAAGCACTCTCCCAACATTCCCCTCTACAGAACCTTAAAATAATGCCTCAGATCAAATTCTCAAGTAGCAAAGCAAACAAAAAGTCAGAGTGAGATATTTTTCCACCCTAAAACAACTTAGGAAGTTGGAGAGATCTGTAATGGAGGCGAGGTGGGTGTGGGAGGTGAGGTTGGGGTGGAGACTTTGCCCAGAGCACATGTGGATGAAACACCAGTTGTGGGACTACTGCCAGTAGATGGCTACAGAAGCAGTAGCAGCTTCAGGAGGTCTCAAGCCAGAGACAGCAAGGGAAGCTGACAACTGGTCAGAAAGAGATTACAATGGACCCCTGTGCTAGTACTAGACAAAGGACCAGACACCGTTTGGCAACTCCATCATCTATACCAACTTTCAGGTCATAATTCAAGGGCACAAAGGGGCATTTTCAATTAAAAGGGAGTGGGGGGGCCCAGAGGAGCAGTATCAGATGTTATCCTAAAGGATCAGTGGCACATTAACCATCTTCTCTAATGATTGGTAAAGTATCTGTACCAAAATAATTTCTTCAGTATTTTTATCTGAAAAAAAAATTGGGAGATTTCTATTCAAATATGGACCATACCACTAGCAAGCTATATGAGTTTGAATAGACGCTCTACATCAGTTTCCTCAAGTGCAAAATAAGGTTGATTTTTTTTCTATCATATTCTTCTGAGAAGCAAAAGTCAGGTTCAACCTTATCTTCTCCCAAGTAATGGAGAAGATCAATGGTGTGGATAATCCAAAATGATAGATAACTGCTAAACCACTTTTTCTTTTTTCTTTTTTTTTTTGCTTTTGGAATCCATTGACTAATTTATTATGCAGCACATCTAACTGCTTCATTAGATTTTGCACAGATGCATGATAATGTTAAAAACATTTATATTTTAGGTTAAACAACTGTTGGGGATAGGGAGATGGGGAGGAAGAAGAACTACAAGCACAGTAGTTACAAGCAAGAAGTCAAGTTGGGATTGAAAGTGCCCTGTGAATAATAAAGAAAAATGTTAGTTAACTCACAGGTAATTGAAAAATCATATTTTAATGCTATTACAGTTCTAGAAGGCCATAAGTAAAGAGGAATAATACATCCTATTTACAAAAAAAATGATTTTGAAACTAGGGCTTAATTAGCTCAATCCTCTGCTCAAAAAGGATAGTTCACTGTCATAATTCCTTAAAGAATACAAAGGAAGAAGACTTTGATGTGGTGAGCCAGGATTGTTCAGAAAAAGGTTAACATGAGCAATACCAATGCACAGGCATAAATACATTTGATTAATGGAGGGAGAGAGGATAAGCACTGGAATAAAGAGGAGAATAAAGATAATTTTAGTTCTTTGACTCCAAATCCAGATTCCTTTCTATTCTTTCATTCTGTTTCCTACTACTTTAATGTTAACATTTTCCCTCTGTATATCTATCCTGTATATAGCTTGTTTGTACATAGCTGTTTGCATGTTTTCTCCTCCATTAGACAATGAGCTTCTTGAAAGCAGGGACTGTCTTTTGCCCTTCTTTGTATACTCAATGCTTATTAGATACTTAAGAAATGTTTAATGACTGATTGTCTGCCTTCTTATTTAAACTAACCTATTCTCTAATAGAGTTTGTTTCCTCTTTTCGTCTCCAACTCCCCACTCACTGGTTGAATTGAATCAATAGATACCTCTTGGGACCAATGGATATCAGATTTCTCTTTTGTTTTACAAGCAAGAATCAAACCATTTCTCCTACTTTAGGGTTCACCCTCCACCTGAAACTTTTTATCTCTGAGGGGAAAACTAAAGATCATTAACATACTGGGG